TTACAAGTTGAAGACGATGCAAACTAGAGTGTTTGTTGTACACATGACACCCTCTATCGGGTCTCGCTTCTTCTTGATGGCCAAAGTGGCTGAAATGATGACTGATGAATATGTATGRATTCTCACAGATGGGCTAACTAATCTCCTTGATTCCATGGATCCTTCTGTCATTGATTCCATGCAAGGCGTATTGGGAATAAGACCCTATGTTCCAAAATCCAAAGAACTCGAAAATTTCAAAGTTAGATGGAAAAAGAAGTTCCAACAAGATAGCCCATTAATGAGCAACCTAGACATCTTTGGGCTATGGGCTTATGATACTGCCAAGGCACTAGCAATGGCAGCAGAGAAAGTTGGAGGTGAAAATTCTAGCTACCAGCAGATACAATTCTCGGAGAATTCCACCGACCTTGCCACACTTGGAGTCTCTCAAATAGGTCCCAAGCTTCTCCAAACAATTCTGAAGACTGAATTTCGAGGCCTAAGTGGGGAATTCCGCCTTGTTGATGGGCAATTGCAATCATCAGCCTTCCAGATTCTGAATGTGATAGGGAATGGGTGGAAAGAAGTAGGATTCTGGACTCCAAGAAATGGAATTCTGAGAGAAATGAATGTTACAAGTACACAAGTTTATTCAACTTCGAAGGGCAATCTCCGCACTATTATATGGCCGGGTGACACTACAGCTATACCCAAGGGTTGGGTGATTCCTACCAGTGGAAAGAAGTTGAGAGTTGGAGTTCCAGTGAAAGATGGATTCAGTGAGTTTGTGAAGGTGACACGAGATTCACATACTAACCAAACAATTTTCACTGGATACTGCATCGACGTATTCAAGGCTGTAATGGAGGCATTGCCATATGCAGTACCTTACGAGTTTGTTCCCTTCGAGAAGGCTGATGACAAAAGCGTTGGTAGTTACGATAACTTGACCTACCAAGTATATCTCCAGGTAAGTTTAATTAATCTTGTTTTCTGATTACAAATTTGTCTATCAATATATGTTCTTCATTCTTGTTGCAATAATGTCTATATATTTGTATGTTGAACAGCAATATGATGCAGTCGTGGGAGATACTACTATCATAGCCAATAGATCCCTGTATGTAGATTTTACATTGCCATATACAGAGTCCGGAGTATCCATGATTGTTCCAGTAAAGAAGGATGATAAGAAGAATGCATGGATTTTCTTGACACCTTTGAGTAGGGATCTTTGGTTAATRAGTGGTGCTTTCTTCATTTTCACTGGATTTGTTGTTTGGGTTCTTGAACATCGAGTAAGTGATGATTTTAGAGGTTCCATTGGAGATCAAATCGGAGTGACTCTTTGGTTCTCCTTCTCAACGCTCGTTTTCGCACACAGTAATGCCTTTTCCACTTCGATTTATTTAGAATACGTAGTACAGTAGATAATACAGTAACAACTATTCTCGTGGTGCAGGAGAGAGAGTTGCAAGCAATTTGGCTAGGTTCGTTGYGATCATTTGGGTGTTTGTTGTTCTCATTCTTTCCTCAAGTTACACGGCAAGCTTAGCTTCGATGTTGACAGTCCAGAAGCTCCAACCCACCATTACTGATGTACAAGAGCTCATAAAAAGTGGAAAGAATGTTGGCTACCAAGATGGTTCATTCGTGGTGGGGTTCTTAAAAAAGATGGGTTTTGATGAGTCCAAGCTGAAGGTTTATAACTCTGTAGAAGAATGTAATGATGGTTTGACGAAAGGGAGTCATAATGGTGGCTTTGATGCTGTTTATGATGAGATCCCTTACATCAAGCTCATTCTATCAAGTTATTGTTCCAAGTACACAATGGTTGGACCTACGTATAAAACTGATGGCTTTGGCTTTGTAAGTCTCTCTCTCTCTCTCTCTCTCTCTCTCTCTCTCTCTCTCAGAGACACACGCGCAGAGTTGCAGAAACCATTTCAGTAGACATCTAAAGCTAATTTGGCCGGTTTTGTCATGTATAGGTCTATCCAAG